TGAATCCTTATTGCTGAGTAAGATCGAAGTGCGTTCTGTTGATTTATCTTTTTATAACAACTTTGTTCCACGTAGCAAAACTTTCTATTCAAGTACCTAGGGCTGTGATGAGGCCGACTACACTATCTGGCAGCCGACGGTGCATTCCATTTCCATTAGGTCATTCTAAAAATCAAGGTGCTTAAAATTGTCTTGCAGTGTCTGGGGCCATCCCCAAAGTGATATGCTGTTTCTCCGTTTCATGCATCTGCAGAAATCATTTTAAGAGCTGGTATGCTGGAGTCTGTGTACCTTCCTATAATTGGATTTAGCTGCACAGTGTTCCTAGCATACATCAGGCAAGTAGAAAGAGGGCTTAAAGCTTGAGGGTATCCCAAGCAATGCGTAACATCTAAGCAAAGTCTTCTGTCTTGTGTCTTCAGTGAGACTCAAGCATAGGCTTAAACACTTGGACAAATAGAGCCTCAGCTATTGTTTGCATCCCAGAAGTACATTCAGTACACTGGCAGTTTCAATAAAGAGCCTGGAAGGATTCGAACCGTTCGGCTAGTTCACCGTCATCACTTAGTGGGAACGAAGAGAATGGATGAATTGTTCTCGACTAAGCAATTACAGTGCAGCATCATATGTTAATCCATCTCCCTCTTTTTTTTTTCCCAATTCTAAGTTTTCACACAGAAAGATGTTTTAGAAAGCTAAGTAGTGATGATAAGTCAAATTCAAATATATGTTAATTCTCCTAAACTTTGTATTTTGCAGTCACCCAGAAAGCTAGCATTACACACATATGTGCTCACGCCAAAAGATTTAGCATCCCTTGCTGAACCTGGAAACTACAGACTACCATTTGTCTGTGTCATTTTGTGCTCATTCACAACCAAACTGATCACATGCACTATGCCTAGAAAGCATTGAGAAGACTACTTGCTAAATGTGGGCAATCAAGTGTTTCTATCAAAGGTGTCAGACTTAACAAACCATGAAAGAAAAAAAAATGTTCCCAAACCTCAGTACTAGTCCAAGGCAAACTTCCTGGGAGCCTCTGTACTTAATTATACCATTATAAATCTAAAAAACCCCAATATTTGACACTAAAACAATAATATGTTTTTATGGATCAGCTATGTTTAGGAAGAAGGAAGAAGTATATCTTTATGATTCAGAACAGGCTCCAAAATGCTGCTATTCTGTTTTGCAAATTCTAAAAGAAAATGATCACATAGTCTCCAAGGACTGAAACAAATATGTATTGATAATAAAAAACTATTTGCACTCCATCACACATGAAAAAAAGAAAAATACAGAGGGCTTTTTTTCCTCTAAAGTTCAAGGTTTCAGAATTTTTCCATGATGAGTTTGGACTTAACTATTTATAATAATAACTGCCTTTAGACTTTTGTTTTTATTATATCATTAAAGCTCTCACAAATGACAGAATAATTTTGAAAATTGCATCCAACATTTCTATGCTATTCTATGGGAGCTGACCATAAATAAGGTTTATAAAGAATGCTGACTGTAAACCCTAATTCAGATGTGGTCAAAGCTTTACATACAGAAGAAAAAATGTAAGTGTTGTTAATGCCAAAACTACATCAGTGATTGCTATGCACGGTGCCATGGAGGACTGCACTGCAGCGCAAACAAATGCCACATTATGATGTTAATTTCTGGCATCAGCAACTCGTAATAATGCTGACTGTTTCATTCTTTCTTTGAAATGTCCTGGGGAATGGAGTAGGTAGTTACCCTCTGAGGTCAATAAAGCAACCATTGGGAGCAAGCTTGTATTTTTCACATAATTTTTACTGGAAAGTACTTACAACTTCCTTTCACTTTCACCAGCACACACACATCTAAGATACCCGCACACACTGTGAATAAGCAGTTATAACACCAAAGACTTTTTCTTTCCCCATGAACTTCAATTTCTAAGATGTTCTTTTAGCTGCCCAAACAGATTATGGGAACTGGTGCCAGTCAGCTAATCTAACTCTATATTAGCACTTCGTTGTTTTGTTGGCACTACTGATGTACAACCAGCAGTCTGAGAAGGTTGTATGCCGCTGATTTAATCTATACATTCTTTAAGACAGTGACAATTTCATACTTTTGTGTGTATAACGCAGCTGGTGGTACTTTACTACATTCCTTTGCTGACAACACCCAGGCGGGCCCCTGAACCAACTTCAGCCACAAAAGTTTACGTTTCAGTGAGAAAAGTATAGGTCTTGGTTAATTTTTTTTTTTTTTTAATGGCAATTCTACTTAGGACAGTAATGAAAAAAAAAAAAATCCATCATCAACTTGTGTTGTTGCACATCATTACTGGATTAAACTTTAAATCTCATCTCTTTAATAGGGTGTATAAAACATGATCACTTTTTTATTACACCACTGAAGTAGTAAGTGCCTCAAGCAATATTTGTTATACAACTAAGAGGGAGGCAGTCCTGAGGGGAAAACCAAATAGCTTTACTGATAAACAGCTTAGCAACACTGAAAGGATCTTCTTGATTGCTTCCTGAAAAATTCCATATATAAACCTTAACACACAACCTGTCTGGCCACCCAGCAAGCAGCAGGCTTCACAGTTTTGCTGCAGTCCAATGACGCTTCTCTGTCCTTGGCTTAAGAAAAGACTGCAAGTGTATTCTTGAACTGCTTTGGTGCACATTAAAACAGATGATCTTAAACAAAATTCTTTTACTGATATTGAGAGGCAGCAGGTAGAAGTGCACTGCCAAAGTTCTGAGACTGTTCCACAGCCCATGTCAGGGTTGGGACTAGATCACCCTCACAGATGTGGAAGAGGAGGGTGTTTGTATCCTGTGCCAATCAGCAAAAGGAGAAGGGAGTGAAGCACAGGGTGAGAGGAGGGCAGCCGTGGACCAGTTTTGCTGGTGGCAGTTTTGCAGCCTGTTCAGAAATCAGTTGCAATTTTAACAACGCATTTTCCTGAATTGGCCTGAACTACCTTCAGCCCAACCTTTGTGCTAGCATCTCCTTGAAAGCCTAGAGGTATTTTGTGTCTCTAAAGGCATCCCCAGTACTGGTAAGACTCTTTGAAATTCTTTGGTCTACTGCAGGGCACATCTTAGCAATTGCAAAGGCTTATCCCAGACACAGATTCAAAGCAAGCAAAGAAATCCCAGTTGTCCATGCATATTTGACCAATTTGACCAATCTGCAATTTGACCTATTAAATATGACAAGCAAAATCTTAGGAGAGAGGAAAACGTTTCTCTAGCAGTTTCCTCCGATACTCTTCATAGTAAGAAGTGACTTAAGGTTTCTACAGGCAAATGAGTGGCCCTAAAGCAAAGTGCACCTACGTAATCTTACCTTTGTCTATTGCTGAAAAAGCATGAATACACATGCTTTAGAAATAGACTGTAGAAATAATTGGCAAATATTGGTAAAAGATCACCAGTTCTAAAATGAAAGCATTCACCTTTAAACAAATAAATCTGGTTTTACTGATAAAGGTCCATTTAGAAAATCCTGACTCTACAGAACGTTCCTATTATTCATCTCAACTAAGATCACGTTTTTCACCCAAATCTCAACCAGATGGATGTAATTTTGATCTTAAAGAATAAAAATTTTTAGATTTTTAGGTGAAATAAATGGCTGAGAACCTACCAAGTTCAATTAGGGTTACCAATTCAATGGTTACTGAAGGCTTGGAGAACTTTTAAACACTTAAGCTTTAAGATGCTAACATTTAACTGTGCAAGTAGAACTATCCTTGGTCAAGTGTATCAAAGGAGAAAAAAGCATCTGAGAACTCCAGTAGTTCTTAATCTAATAAATATTAGATTTATTATTAACTGAATTTTACTTTAATGCTTAGTTTAATATGCTTTAAAATACTTACTTCAGAATTACACAGCCTGTACCAGTAGGAGGAGCCGTCCAAAACACTTGAATACGTGTCCTTCTTCTTGGTGTGCTCTCAGTAACAGCAACAGGACAATTACTCATGAACTGCGTTTCTTCTTCATCTATGATCTAAGGAAATACAAAGAGAAGAATGTGAAAAGATAAGGACATACATAGCCAATGACTCGAATATGTCTTGTCAGCTCATGTTTTCCTTCAGTGGGATTATTTATAATTCTCTCTGCTTAGCTCAGCACTACTTTGGTAAATTTATTTATAATGTGCAGATCACCCACTGAAATGAAAACAAAAAGCCCACAAAATAAAGGCAGAAGAATATTTCAGTTCTAGGTGAACAGAAGTTAGTTCCTTCTGAGCGTGGCTGCAAACAACCTTTCTTGTAGATCCTGATTACTGGTCCAGTAGTTATCTAATAAATATTAGATTTATTATTAACTGAATTTTACTTTAATGCTTACTTAAGACCCCAGCCTGTACCAGTAGGAGGAGCCGTCCAAAACACTTGAATACGTGTCCTTCTTCTTCTTGTGCTCTCAGTAACAGCAACAGGACAATTACTCATGAACTGCGTTTCTTCTTCATCTATGATCTAAGGAAATACAAAGAGAAGAATGTGAAAAGATAAGGACATACATAGCCAATGACTCGAATATGTCTTGTCAGCTCATGTTTTCCTTCAGTGGGATTATTTATAATTCTCTCTGCTTAGCTCAGCACTACTTTGGTAAATTTATTTATAATGTGCAGATCACCCACTGAAATGAAAACAAAAAGCCCACAAAATAAAGGCAGAAGAATATTTCAGTTCTAGGTGAACAGAAGTTAGTTCCTTCTGAGCGTGGCTGCAAACAACCTTTCTTGTAGATCCTGATTACTGGAGCTTCCTGTAAATGTTAATGAACTGAAAATAATAAAAGATGCATAATTTCAACTTTTTTTTTACATTATAGCAACTGGTTAGGACAGATGGAACATGCTAGAGAAGAAGGGGTTTCAATTTTTTTATTTTTTGTTTGTTTTTTAAACTAACCTTTGATTTATTATTAACTGAATTTTACTTTAATGCTTAGTTTAATATGCTTTAAAATACTTACTTCAGAATTACACAGCCTGTACCAGTAGGAGGAGCCGTCCAAAACACTTGAATACGTGTCCTTCTTCTTGGTGTGCTCTCAGTAACAGCAACAGGACAATTACTCATGAACTGCGTTTCTTCTTCATCTATGATCTAAGGAAATACAAAGAGAAGAATGTGAAAAGATAAGGACATACATAGCCAATGACTCGAATATGTCTTGTCAGCTCATGTTTTCCTTCAGTGGGATTATTTATAATGCTCTCTGCTTAGCTCAGCACTACTTTGGTAAATTTATTTATAATGTGCAGATCACCCACTGAAATGAAAACAAAAAGCCCACAAAATAAAGGCAGAAGAATATTTCAGTTCTAGGTGAACAGAAGTTAGTTCCTTCTGAGCGTGGCTGCAAACAACCTTTCTTGTAGATCCTGATTACTGGAGCTTCCTGTAAATGTTAATGAACTGAAAATAATAAAAGATGCATAATTTCAACTTTTTTTTTACATTATAGCAACTGGTTAGGACAGATGGAACATGCTAGAGAAGAAGGGGTTTCAATTTTTTTATTTTTTGTTTGTTTTTTAAACTAACCTTTGTTTAAACAGTATTATTCTTCAGGCATCAAAAGAATCTCCAGGTCAAAAGAGGTAATATATGAATCATAATCATTTATAATTCAGAGACCATTATTTAGTCCAATCTGCACACATTTTTGCTTTTTGTTTGATTGATGTTTAACAGAAAGGTTTAAGTGGTATAAGTCAACACAAAACCAGAGAGGCTGATTTGGACCTGGTGGTGTTCTAAGGATTTTACTCAAGGGTGCCTGTGACAAAATAGCTTTCTCACTACATATGTACTTCATGGATTGTACTTTAAGCCTTCTGTTCATCAGATCTCAAAGAAAATTCATCAGAAGCTGCCAAGTTTTATTTGGAAACAGGCAATACTGTGATATTGCAAAATTTCTCTTCAAAATTCCTCAGTGGTCTACTTTCATTTGATGAAGCCACAATTCTCACTACATTGGGTCAAGATTCAGGCAATAAATTATAAACCTTACCATTTTGAGAAAGAAGCTGTATTTATCAATTTATAAAAAGACTCAACTCTGAAGGAGCTTTTTCAGAATTCTGGTTCTAATAACACACACAGTTTTACCAGATTACAATAATTAAAAAAAAAAAATCTTCTGGCAGTGAATAAAACTTTAAACAAGTATTTTGACAAAAAATACTATTTTACATTCTGAAAAAGTGGTAATATCTATAGTTTGACCAGATCTGCTTTAGTGAGCAGGCATCCACATTGTCTCACCCAATGATACTGCCAGCATTTCCAAACATTTTTAGCTGAGCCAACTAACATTTCTGGTTTTCCGTGGCAGAATGAAGGGGCACTGGCCCAGAGGAGTGCTGAGAAACTCTATTTAGCTGTCAATAGGGTAATGGTTAATGAGTTTTAAATATAAAGCCATTAATAGACTTCAACTTTTTTAACGCTTCATAGAATCTGTGTAACTAAACACAATGTGTACAGCTACTACTTTGAGAGATTTTAATTAACGTGAAGCATTGGGAAGCATGGGATCTAGTCTAGGCTTAAGCTGGCACTGCACGGTTTCTACTTCCACTTGATACAATTTAATGCACTTAACTCGAGCATCAAGAAATCCCTAATCTGCAACTCTGTCTTGGCCATCAACTGTATTTATTGTGTCTGCCTTATTCCTGCAACAGTAAAATAAAGAAATAAAACTGTTTACTTATCTCTCAGAAAGGTTGTCTCAATTATTCAGGACCATATCAATTGACTTTTTATCCATATCTCACTAATTAATTCTCAATAAAACCCCCAATTTTGGTGGAAGCTTTGACTGAAGAATGGGTGACTTTATACCATCTCATACAAAATAAAATACTACTGTACGTTATATAAAAGCAGGATAATTCCCATTGAAAGGGCTCTTAGGAGGTTATCTGAAAGTTCTTAAAAAGGACAGCTTTTCTAGAAAAACAGAAATATTGCAAATTATTGTACAAGTTACACTAGCTCCATATTCTCTTGTCAGATGCACACTGCTGCTGTAGTATCATAACTCACACCCTTGGATAAAAGCTTTAAAAATACGTTCAATTCAGGTGAAGAAAGATTAAGTAATTACAGGTAAGTGTAAATACTTTACGACTAACTAGATAAAAGCTATTCAACAATGATCAATATACCTTTCACATATGTTGATTTTTGCAAATCTAGTTTAGTTCTTGTCTGACACACACTTCATCATGAATGTTTCTTGAGAAGCCCAACTGAAATGAATCCGTGTTCGCAAAGTATAGAGTTGCTATTTTCAGCTAACAAGAATTTAGCTGCTTTCATATCCCTAAATATCATTCCTCCAACAGTCATCATTGTAGACCCATCTGTGATGCATTTGCACGTTAAGTAAGTTCTTGTCTCCAGGTGAGTCAATCCTGCTTTTTCCCCCAACAATGAAGGGATTCACAAGGAACACCAAATCCAACAGCTACTATTTAAGGAAGGAGTTGTGAGCAACTGTAGGTAGTTATTACAAGTCAAATTTCTGGCTGCTGCAAAACCAGAACCTGAAATATTTGTCTGAGTTCTAGATAGCCATTAGGTTGGAACACATCCATGCCCTTTTCCAGTAGCAACAAATGAACACAGAAATGCAGACATATTTTGCACTTCTATAGCCTACCAAATTCCTGCAACCTAGCAAGTTATGAATTTTCTCAAGGAATATAGATGCCTATAATGACATAATTTTAAAGTTCTGGTTGCATTTTAGAACATAGTCCTGGAAGAACAGGAAGTGGTTGAACCTCAAGGCTACATCACGATTTCCTGCATCACTAACCAAAAGCAAGAAGATTTATGCAATAAGTGTCTACTGGGAAAACCTGACCATAAAAGAATAAGGTCCTCCAAAAAAAGTTCCTCTGAAGAAAAATTAGATAGAAGCTTTCTTAATAAAGACTCCTAATATTGACAGGATACAGTAAAGAACTCCTAAACTAGTTGGAAAAACTCAAATGCCAATTGATCTGAGAGGATTAAAAAAAAAAAGTTATTTTAAGATATTTTATGAAACTCAGAAGAATTACCCGGATCCTAGGAGTTCAGATAAATATAAACCCGTCTCAAATATATTTGTTAAAAAGATGGGTTTTTTTCCATATCCATAGAGGTTTGATTCTTTATAAAAAGTTCTTAGGGGCAATACAGAAAGGGTTCACTACTTATACAACAGGATTCCAAATGACGCGATATTTTAGGGTGGTGGATGATATTGCACTCACACATAACACAGGAGAAAACAATAGCATCCTGGCCAACTTTGGGGGAAAAAAAAAGATATGTAATCTCTGAAAATAATACAATCCTGATTTTTCTTCTGGAATCAAGTCAGACCACATAGGCATGAAGGAAAGAATTGGCAGGAAAAAGACATGCAGATTAAAATGTAGCATTTGCAAAATTATAGCTTGCTAAACCCCAGGTTATCTGTAATGGGAAGCCTTACATTTTCAGGAATGGGCCAGCAAATTAACTACATGTTGGACAAAAATCCTAAAAACTAAAATAAACACTTGGTTGAAGAATCTGAGGTCTCAGATCTCAGATCTCTCAGGGATCTCTGTGTGACTAATTCTTTTGAATCCACAAATGCAATGACTTTAAGTCTTAATGTTCTATTTAGGTTTTGGTGTGTTGGGGTTTTTTTTTACTTATGATTGAAATATTATTGGACCAATTTATTCCTTCAGGGAAACTAGTGTAAATCCTGAACAAGACTTTTGGAGTTAACCCGGATTTGAATGAGTGTCACAGAAAGTAGAATTTGGCTGAACTTGGGTAAATCTACAAACATGGAAGTAAGGATATTAAAAGGGAGAATTCACCAGCTCCAGGCTCAGTCTTGCATTCTTTGCATATTCCAAACACTGAAGAGGTTGAGGATGGGTTTTGGGTGTTCCTGAAAAGCAGGACTGGATAACTGTTGTTAAACAGATGAACGAGCGGTTTTCTTTTCTCAGAACTGGAACATTTCATGCTGAGTAATAGAGCTTGCTATCTGTTTCTCATTTCTATAAACTGTTAGTCAAATAAACTAAACCAGGCAGTTATTCTTTCTATCGTTAAGTCTATATCGGTATTAAAAAAAAAAATTCAAAATGCTATAAACCACAAAGAAAGGAATTAGTATCAAGTACAAAAGGCGATGAAGTTACATAAATCCTCTACTGGCTTGCGTCCACTTCTTTAGTTTAAACCACTGGCTAGGCTCTTCACCACCACTTCTTGTTCTGTGGACACATCATCACTTTCCACCCACTGAAACAGCTGCGTTTCACTGGAACAACTGAGTTTAAAAAAATAAAAAACAGACAAAGTTCACAAGATAAGTATTTTTGTGGGCAGTTTTCTTCTTTGGAAGGGCTAATATGGAGTCAGACTTCCAGAATGTTGCAAAATGATCTTCTCCTTGAGGAAACTTTCTCATTATAAAAGGAACATTAGGTCTACATAATGGTAATAATATTTGGCCTTTAGGGATAAATCTAGAACAGAGCTTATTATATGGATGGGAAAACTAATGATGAACAAAGTTGGTTTAAAAAAAAAAATCTATCTCAAAGATATGCTTCACAAAACCAGTTTCTTTGACTAAAGGACACAGTATTTCCTTCAGAGTCTGTGCTTAGAATCAGAAGAATCAGAACTGGGACTTTTTATGAAGTGTCAGTAATCAATCTTGATGCAGACTATGATTCAAAGCTGTATAGCACCACCGAGCACTGCTGGGCTCTCAGTAAGATTTGCCATCTTTAACACCACACCCGAAGACTGGAGTTGTCTGATAACTAGCCACACCTTGGAGCACTGGAGAAAAGTGTGCAAATCTATTGAAGAAAGGCATTGCTAAAATACACTTGTAGATTATCACTGTTTTCTAGTAACTTCTAGCACAGACTTTACATAGCTATCCTACAATGTTGTAACTGGAAATCAAATTTAGTTCTGTAATCGTTACCTGAGCACAGACTTTATTAAGTAAAGATGAAATGCACTAGATGACGTGATGGTAAGTTCTGTGAAAGCAGTATCAGCACAAATCATATGCC